AGCATTTTTTAATAGTTATTTAGGACTACGATTACCAAATATTATCTTCTATATATCATATTTATCAGTCCAAGCAGCGTTTATTTATTTATAAACTACTATTGTGTCCATGCTTAATGGCAATATACCACATGTATATAGACACACACAAAGAATTACAATGACGTTTAAAAACAATTCCAATTTTGCTTTAAGTGTTGGCAGGATTGGGCGAGTTGATTACTATGCATACACATATTTGAAGAGTGAGGGAAACTTCATTATTACAATGCATACACATGTTGGCAGGGCGCCTATTAATATGCATACACATGTTCATTAATGTGCATATAAATGTTGGTAGGGTGTGGTGGTGAATTATTAATAAGCATACATATGTTGGCAGAGTGGGGTTGACTATGAATATACATTCAAATGTTGGTGGGGTGGGCGACTTCAATAATAAGCATACACATTTTGGCATGGGGTGACTTCATTAATATGCATACACATGACCACAGAGTGTTGCGACTTCATTAATATGCATACACATGTCCACAGAGTGGTGCGACTTCATTAATATGCATACACATGTCCACAGAGTGGTGCGACTTCATTAATATGCATACACATGTCCACAGAGCGGTACGACTTCATGAATATGATCAGTCTTGTAAATTGCACTCTGACTGGCGTCCATGTGCAATATACTCGACTCTAACTAAAATTGGCGTTTCAGAATCAGTTTCTTCCTTGCAAACTGTCCAGGTTTACTCATAAATAAAATAGTTTCTTTGCTACAAACTTTTGTAAATTTGCTACGAAATAGTTTACTGGTTAGTCAGGCAGATTCAGACTGAAAAAGTTCTCTCCTACTAGTAAAAAAACGCCAACCATGCATAAGATACTTACAAGCTTTCAATAAATCAATTGATAGAGTTTATTTATAATTGTATGCCATGATCAGTGAAACAAGACAGGAACTACCAATTAAGAAATTACACTGGGTTATTTGTATGACTGCACATGGGTTCTGTGAACACATGGATAAAAATACAATGATACATCAGGTATTGAAATGTGTCATAGTGTTTGATCATATTTGACGACAAAAAATGTGACAACTTATTTTTCAAATTGTCCATACCATATTTGCTCAATTAGCAGCACATAAACTTATGATTTATGTCTGGCCAAAAGAAATAATATTTGAATGATTGAGTAAACAATTGTTTACATGCACAATATGGTATATGGAATAATGATGAACTCTATAAATTTCATAAAAACTATAAAACTGCTTTTTGTTCCGGACATAACATTTAGGGTAGTGTCTTAATTTGAGGGTTAACACATTTAGTACCACGCACATGTATGTTGCCAATACACATCAAATTTATGTATTGATGCAATCCCTAAATTAACAGGATGTTAATATTACCGCATATATGTATATACAGAATGTAAAACTTATTAATCAGCCCAGTCTGCTTCACAGTCACTATCTCTACTCATCTTTGGAGGGGGAGGAATCATGGCTGAAATTTTTCCCATCACCGAATTCTCTCCGACTGAATTAGAACCACGATTACTGTCATCATTCCCAGCGGGCTTCTTCTTTCCTGAAATTCCATCTCTTCTCAGCGCTAACCTGTTCATCAAATCGGACATCAGGTCCCCACCACCACCACCACCACCTGCTGCAGACTTATCTTTCTTTTCCTTTTTCTTCTCCAACTTCCTGTCTTTCACACTTTTAAGTTTCTTTGAACCACCAGCTTTCCTGATGGAATCCAAGAGATTAGCACGACCTGTTGCAGGTGTGGCCACCTCTTTAGGAGCCCCTTCAATCCCTGTGGGAGGAGGTGGTGGAGGAGGAGGAGGGGCACCTTCTTCTTGTGGTGGCGGCGGGGGTGGCGGTGGTGGAGGTGGAGGTGGTGCACCACCAGGTGGTGGGGGAGGTGGGGGTGGAGGCATAGAATCCCCGGGAGGAGGAGGAGGAGGAGGTGCAGACGTCTCACTAGTTGATTCCGAAATAACATTTGGCAGATCAGGTACATTACTGCCAGGAAGTGAAGGAGCAATGGATGGTCCTAAATCAGCACTATATGTCAAGTCATCAGCAACACCTATATAGAAAATAAAGTTTTATATAATTACATATTCAACCATAACATAAAGTGCCCAAAATGTTGTCCTATTCCAGGCACAAATACATGTATATTAATCTAACCCATTTTTATATTTACCAACTTGTTTAACTACTACTAGGTTTTTAACGGCCAATTGGCATATTGGTTTACATAGTACTGTTAAATGATTAAGAAGAGAAATCATTCAGCTGATGTTGATGTTTCTTATTCTATCCGTGTTGACCAGGGAAATGTTACAATTTATTTGCATTATTTAAAGTACTTTCCTTGCCACATTATTATTCATAAAAACTAAGAATTTTTAAAGAGTATCATTGTCATCAATAATTTCTTATTCTTTGTATTACCGTATTTATTAATATGAGGCATATTAGCAAATTACTCTGCATAATTTACATATGTGGCAGTTTTGAAAGCAAACTAAGCCAGCATAAAGCAAGCTCAGACTGTGTTGTACACACATAGCATACATACATAAATACACACAAGGAAACTTCAAAGACTCTTATTGTTTGGAGATGGGGGAAAGGTCACAGTCTTACATTACAAATTTCATGCATTGTTTACAAAACTCACTAAATGCCTTCAAAACTATGCAAATTGCCCAAAAATAAAGATCCCCAGATAGTTTAGGAAAGTGGGTTTTAATTTAGATAAAGCCTTTGCGCCTTAAAGTTTGTCTCAGGTCCCTTTATCCTATACTCTATCCTAGTCTATTTTTTTGACATCATCTAAGGAGTTACTAATATGTGTTTTCTTGTGGTCACAACCTACCGGGTAGATCAGGTAAATAGACAGGGACATCAATTTCTGGAACAATTCCTAGATCAGGTCGATAGAAGTAACTATCCCCACCCACTCTATCCAGTTGTTCTCTTTGAGTGATGGATGCTGGAGCTGCTCCAATGCCATCAACATCATCATCTTCTAGTGATTTTCTTGTTTTTGTCACAACACCAAGAGGATCTAACATCACATATTTCTTATATCTGGAATAGTAGAAATAACAAAGAAAGGTCATGATACAACACAGTCTGTCAGTTTTTCAGTGTAAATCCATATAGGAGTACATGTGTACCTATGTCTTATGACAAACCAGGCATGTCATCTGGTAAAACAAAATGGCCACCTAACAAAATAAAATAATGTGCATCAAGGTACAATTATGTCAATGTGTTTGTAAAAGATCCAGCTCAAAATGATGGAAGTGCTTGGTTTTGATGAATCTTTTTATTTTCAAATAATTTGGTCTTCTTGAATTAGATATTTAACAAGCAGCTTCTCGGCTGAGATAAACATGTATAGTATCAAAGCAATCACAGTTGCTGTTTTCAACAAGAAGTCGAAAAGTCACTTTTTACCAAAATTACAAAAATATTCACCAAAATTAGAGAATTGAAGATATCATCAGGAAATGAACAAATCTAAGAGGTCTGAGCAGGAAAACTAATCCTTTGTGTACCCTGCTAACATGACGTTGAATGAACGAAAAATGATCCTGTATATGTGATTTAATAGTTTGCCATTTTAGTACAATAAAATCATCATAATCGAATATTTCTGTCATTTTGGAACCAGATCCTTGTTGTACAGAGACAGATTTCATTCAAACTTGGCATCGTACTTACCCGCTGATAAGCTACTGTCTGGGTATAAGCTAAACCCTTGGTTATAAATAAACCCAGTGTTTTTTATGTGCATCAGCAATGGTGAATTTAATTCTTAAAAATAATATGTGCGAAAAAAGTGTTTCATTGCATGGAAATTGTTATGTCTGAAATTACCGACCTAAAGTGGAAACATAAATATTAAGAATATTTCAAACAATTATTTAAAAAACAAGCCATGCATGGCACAGTCCCCGTTAGATTATTCAACTTTCAAATACTTGTTCACAAACACCAAGGAGTCACAAAGCTTGACTATGTCAACTGACTTGCCAGGAACAAAATAGATGACAAGATTGAAAAGTTCAGGTTATTGACTTGTAGCCATAATTCCAACAGCAAGGAAGGCTAGTTGATATCATCACAAACCAACACATAACTTTAATGATTCACATTATTCAACATGTGCTATAATCTATAACAGGCACAAAAGTAGACTATTCTCAAAATGGATTTTAGCGCGAAATGCTTGTATTTTAAACTGTTGTTAAAGGTGTTTAAGTTACTGTTCAGTTCTCAATTTATATAAAATCACGACATCCACATAACAGCTCTGGTCACACTTATAGTGGTGTTCCCATAATGAAATTAAACGACAAACATCAAGGGTGAGAATTTCCTTGTCCAATCAATAAGGTTGTGTGCATCACATTACCAAACAAACAATTTGCATGTGTCTGTGTGCTATAATTTGCTATATACATGTACGATTAGAAATGGATTGTCCCAAAGTTTTGAGTTTATATAATTTCTGAAAAATGACTTGTACTGCAGTTTCTAGTATTATATTTGACACTGCAGATGGCAGCCAATAAGTTGCAGACTTCATTGAACTAGTTTCTTGACTGCTTCATAACAACAATGATTTATAAATAAAACTCTTGGTAGTAGTTTTCATTTACTACTCAATGGTTGATGTATATTTTCATAATTTATTTTGGAAAAATCTGTCAATATATTTTATTCTGTGGATATATAGTTGTACAAGTGCATTATATTCCACATTATCACTCCATTACTAATAGGGGTTTATTTGTTCGTTTTCCTTGTGACAATCATTTTATTGAAATACAATATTAATACAAGCAGCCTGTTGGCCGAGATAGCTGTTAGCAATGCACATTTCAATCAAAGAACAGAAGATATCTTTAGAAAATGAACAATATGTATAGTACATTGTATCAAAGCAATCAGACTTGCTGTTTTCAACAAGAATTTGAAAATATCACTTTTTACCAAAAATGACAAAAATATTCATCAAAATTACATAATACAAGCAGCCTGTTGGCCGAGATAGCTGTTAGCAATGCACATTTCAATCAAAGAACAGACGATATCTTTAGAAAATGAACAATATGTATAGTACATTGTATCAAAGCAATCAGACTTGCTGTTTTCAACAAGAATTTGAAAATATCACTTTTTACCAAAAATGACAAAAATATTTATCAAAATTACATAATTGAAGACATCATCACAAAATGAACAAATCTTAGAGAGGTCTACCTAGAGTACCTATATATATAATATCAAAGCAATCGGACTTGGGTTTTCAACAAAAAGTCGAAAATATCACTTTTCACCAAAAAAGAGAAAAATATTCATTAAAATTACAGAATTGAAGATATCATCATGAAATGAACAAATCTAAGAGAGGTCTACCCAAGGTACATATACACCAAGGATCAAGCATTCAGGCTTGTTGTTTTTAAGAAGAAGTTGAAAAAGAAAAAAAGTTTACAGAAACAACCACTGACAATTATCACTCATACATGTAGGATAAGCTCCACTCGACAAAGTCGACAGTAGAGCTAAAATTATCACAATATAAAGAGCTATAAAAAGGACTGAATAAGTAATGAAATAAAAGCATTCATATCTAGTACACCAAATTTGTCAATGTGTTACAATATATATACATAGTGTTACAAGTTCATGACATTCAGTAGCTCAAATACATCACAAGTAAAACACTTACATGTATGACATATCACCAGTCCTACCAGACGCACTCATATTTAAATCAACTAGGGTATTTGTTGTCTTCTACAAATAATTTTATGAAATATATGAATATACGCATCTTTGAAATTGTTGTTCATGACTCCATAGATGATTGGATTACACCAACAACTAGAAAAAAACAGCCACGTAGCAGCATTCTTCAGAATTCTTGGTATTGAAAGATAGTTTGTGACCCCATGAATCATGACATAAGGCAGGTAACAGAGGTTGAAAACAAAGAAAATAGTTAGAAGCATTTTAACAAGCTTTCTTTCCTTAAAATCTTGACATTTTCCCATGTTTTCAGTGTGAACCTGTTTTTTACTCTGATGAAATTTACGATAAATGCCAGTGTAGCAGCATGAGACAGTGACGGTCGGAAATAGTACTCCACAGAACAATATATACAAGGTGTGGCTCCTGTTGCTCTTCTCAAATGTACAGAGAAACATGTCTTTTTGATAACCAAACTGTCCAAATACACCTACTATTGTGGGAATGTTGCCAATGGCAGGTAACATCCAGGTGACAATTACCATTAATCCTGTGTTTAGCTTTGTAAAGACTTTCTTGTACTTTAATGGATAGACTACTTTTATGAATCTGTTGACAGCGATGAACGTAATATTGCACCAAGACACCACATCATAAGAAAGGCTAACCATCTGCAGAACGTATCCCCAAACAGCCATCTTTTGTTCACATAGGTTACCATTATGAATGGTGATAACAGAGGTGGAAATATAAGATCAGTAATGGCAAGATTGAGGATAAAGATGTTAGAAACATTGTGAAGTTTGGGTGAGATGATCACTGAGACGATGACAAGAAAGTTACCTAGTCCACCAGCGATGAGAATCCACAAAGTAATGGCTACTCCGATGTAACAGATCATTGCCTCATCTTTGTCATGTTCGTAGCTTTCCATTGTAAACGTATTTCTACTGCTGTTATCCATATTGATCTTCAAGTAAATATCTATGTTTCTTGGCGATTAATACAGTAAAACCCCACAGTTCTTATTTCAGTAGTCACACAAACCACAGGTGATAACAGTGTGAATGTTATTATGTGGACTTACAAAGCTGGGAAGCACCAATCTTCACATGCAAGCACAAGCAGGCATCTACTTGGATGCGCTTGTATTAAAAATGAAAGTAAATCCTGTCAACAGTGGTGTCACACTATACAATTGATGATCAAAAGATACAGGACCTTTTGCACAAGAGACAATGAATGACTAGTTCAGCAGGTAATCAACATATTCAATAGGATACCTTGAACATATAAAATTAAAGTCAATCAATACCCATAGTGCATCTCTCATCACCATAGGAACAAGACTGAATTTTATTATCCAATTTAGAAATGCAATTAAAGTGAGAGGATGGCATTTAAAGGCAACCCAATATTTATTGGACACTAGTATAGCCCAAGGTTAACCTATTCAATTTTTAAAAAAGAATCTAATTTTTTGTTATGTAGCAGGTGTTCGTGTATCTTGCTGTTCATATCCTAAATGACATGTTTACCCACCTAATTTTCTAAAATATCTGTGTAGCATACAATTTGACCACCTATGTTTTGCAGTTGGACTTCCTACTTAATATTTTAGAAGAAAAAAACAGTAATCAAATCAATACAAATCTTCAGGTGATTCTGAGCAATGATTGAGTTGTGTACCTGGATCAAACAGTGGTTTATTACTAAATATTAATAATATTTTCCTTATTATTTTCTATTTTTCAAACACAGATCAATCAATGATAAGAAAACCCTGCCATGATGTTTTCAGGGTGTGGAAGTTATTTTCACTAGATGCAGTGTATCCTACGGCAGTATTTTTATGACTGTAGCACCATGGTGTTCTGTTATTATTACATATGTCCACCAACTCATCCAAGATATTTGTTTAATCTGGCATTCTATTCTATTCATATGCAAATGCAGCTCAGATACACACTCATTGCAAAATGAAAATGAGGAGTGGCAAATATGCAGCAAACAGAACACATTTCAAGAGTGAATTCAAATTAAAACAAGTCATTGAAAATGACACAGTCCCTGTAAAATTTTGGAAAGTTCTCTTTGTGCTCGTCATATTAAAGTGGAGGGGTTTTCGCGAGTGTGTCTTTGAAACTTGAGTCCCAAGTGACGTATACAACAGATTGTTTATTTACATCAAATTCGAACACGTGTTGCGTGACGACCCCTCCGGTTTAAGACATAGCAAAGAAAAACATAGATCACAAGTGAAAGCATGTCCAAGTTATCACATTTTAAAGAAACAAGATGGCCGCCAGTCAGCCATATTTGATCAAATTGCAAATTGAATTGACATATACTTGTATCCATTTATGACATACTAAATATCAATGAAAATGATATGTGGGTGACAGAGATATAGTAATATGGCCAAAAATAAAAACAGCTGTTATTCGGGCATCTTTGATCTGATAATGAAACAAAGTGACATGTATGATGTATGTGCCAAATACAAATGAAAATGGTACATACATCTTGGAAATACAGTAGTAACGCCAACAATTTAGATGGCTGTCAATCAGCCATCCTTGATTCGATTTTGAAACAAATTGTCATGGACATGTATGCTAACATGTATAAAGTATGTGCCAAATTTGAATAAAAACTGAAAAAGCATGTCCAAGATACCACATTTAAACAAGCCATGCATGGCACAATCCCAGTTAGTTATCAAATTTAAGATAATATAGTTTTGTTTATAGTAATATAGCTGGAATATAACCATGTCAGGAGTATGATTATGATGATTGTTTAACATTAAAATGATTGACATTTGTACTTGTCCATATTGGGAGTTTTGCTCTGGAACAGTATTAATTAAAACAAAATCAACCATTTTGAATACATGTATATATCTATAACATGATGTATAACAAATAAAATTTGAACATAATCAGTCAAAGCAAGTCAGAGATATGGGTCTAGAAGCCCATTCATTAAAAGAAAATGGCCGCCAGTCAGCCATTTTGAATCCAATCTGAAAAATAAAATTGTTTGCATCAAGGTCCCATAAGGTGCACGCACACACGGACGGAAAACACGAACGCACAAGGGTCAAAACATAAGTCCCCGTTTTCGGACTGCATTCGAATGGGGACTAAAAAACAAACAAGATGCCTGCCAGTCGGCCATCTTTGATCCAATTGCGGAAGAAATTGTCATGGGCATGTATTGTAACATGTATAATCTATGTACCAAGTTTGAATGAAAACTGACAAAGCATGTCCAAAATACAACATTTTCAAAAAACAAGATGGTTGCCAGGCGGCCATTTTGAATCTAATCGATAAACCACTGCATGTGCATATGTCCCACATAAAGTACTAGGCACATGCAAAGAATGAACAGAGTCAGTCCAAAGGATTCTGAAATATGACTCCGGACGGATGGATGGACGGTCGGAGGACATGTATCTTGACATGTATAATCTATGTACCAAATTTGAATAAAAACTGACAAAGCATGTCCAAAATACAACATTTTTAAAAAACAAGATGGCTGCCAGTTGCCGATTTTGAACGGGGACTAATAATTCAATATAACCGATAAAAAAACGATTGTGACGCAGGGTGTTTTTATAATATACCGGTATACTGCCAATATATCAAAGAATAAACACGACTTTCAATAACAGTTAAACCTAAACCAAGAAATACTGAGTGTGTCATTTGCTATGGCAAGTTTCAATCCTAGTTTTTGATACATTTAAGGCTGCACATTTTGTTTTAATGTGTTGAGATCTATATAGAACATTTTAATTTGTTCCCCTTTGAAGAAAAGACAAACACAGATAAGACTATAATAGTCAAGACACATCAACCTGATGTCAATATTGTGTATATATTTACTTTGTGCAGTTGAGCTCAAGACTGTAAAGATGGTTTAGAATACTGATAGTTGTTTAGTACGAAGTTCTGAGATCATTGTGGGAATACATGAAATATATAAATACGACAACCAGCCTGTCGGCTGAGATAGCTCCACTGTTAGCAATGCACATTTCAATTAAAGAACTGAAGACATCATTAGAAAATGAACAATATGTATAGTATCAAAGCAATTGGACTTGCTGTTTTTAACAAGAATTCGAAAATATCACTTTTTATCAAAAATGACAACAATATTCAACTAATTTGCATACATTTACATATAATTTACATACCTTTCATTCATTAACAGAACCCATTTACAAGTATGAATATTAATGAGCTCGGTCACAGTGCAAATATTTTTTTTAATGGAATCAACACATTACGTTTCACAATTTAGAAAAGTTTGAATTTAAAAATGAAACATTCTCGAAATACAAATGCTGCAGACTAAAAACAAAAACAAATAAATTATTGTTACAATATTAATGTCTATTGTAGAACGTGAAATGAAACGCATTTGAAACGTTAAGCCAGAAATATGATCTTGAATTTCATGATTTTGTTTACTCCTTCAAAAAATCGACCACGTAATTAATTGGCGTATTGTTGTAATTTATTATTCATACCATCAACTTCTAAAACGTTGACATTTACAGTAATGAACAAACAAATAAAACTTCAAAACGATCATCAAAATTATGACGTGACATAACTTACTTTGCTATGTTATACAACGGTTATACCACTAATTCCTCTTACTCAGTCATGATGTCATGCAAAAAATGTTACTTCTTTTTTTTTGATATGAAATGAAAGTAAAATCTGACTTATTTTTATCGAGAGTGATTATTTTTAATCACTTGATCGCTTCGGTAAAAACACAGACCCGCCATGACGATTGTGATTCTTGACCGGCATGTATCCTTTGACCCAATGAGTCAAGAATGCCATTAACGAATCAAAATGCCGCATGGTAATGCCGGTAGAATAGTTTTCCAAATGGTAGTGATCATAAAAATTACATTACGAGAGTAAAACAAAATCGTGGCACGATGTGTTGGCATCGATTTCAGTTAAAAACTGCATGATGGTTTTCGAAAGTGGTGATTAATAATTTTTAAAAGGTAAAATACATATAATTCTTGAAAGAAGAGTTTTTACATGATTCGCGATGATAACAGTTCAAATGTATTTGACCAAATCACGCAATAAACACGTTTTTTTCTTGAGTAGCGTAAACTGATCGTGAACTCTGCTTTGACCATGTTATAACGAGGTGGAATTGATTTTGAAAGAATTTTAGCTTTCAATCTAAAGACTGTGTCTATATTATAAAGTATTTACTTACAAACAAAGAGGTGCTAATTTCACAAAATTGACTAGCCGCTACATACATGTATGGTGCGACTACGTCTATTGTTTACAAATTATAATCCACAACTGGCAGGATGCGTGTCGGTCGGTACACAATAACATTTGGACAATAGTCCTAGTTGAAAGCGTTTCCGTGGTGGTAATTTTGAGCCGACCAGCGTGGTGAACAAACCTTTTGCACATCCGATATTTGCATGTCAAATATGAAATCAAGCACCAAGGTAGGAAAACATAGCTCCGAGGTCCCAAGTAAAGCGCCAAGATTCACAAATATAGCACCGTGGCGCAGCGCTAAAAATCGTCCATTAGTCCACAGCATATATGTTCCAAGTTTCATCAAAACCCAATGAGTGCTTCCTGAGATCAGTGGAACAGACGGACACATACATGTACTCAAACGGAATTTTATGATTGTGCTGCCTGTCAAAATTTGGATATTTAAATTTCATTGAAATTACAATTATTCCATTCAGTGTGTTTCAAGGAAGAACCTCATAATGGAATACAAGTAGGGTTACTAACACACATTATTACATGAACAAGTCATTGACAAAACACAGTCCCAGTCATGCAATAGTAAACAGAAATGAATAAGAAATTGAAATGTCAATACTGTAGAATTCTTTATTTTCGTTTGGAATTGATGTACGTTTTTTTCGCTGAAGAAATGATTCAGTGAAAATAAGATCCAGCGAATATACCTTTTTCTCTATATTTTACATTCAACTTGTCAAAAACAAAAATTAATTCCAGCTAAAATAAAGTATTACCGAGGTATGTAGATGTGAAGTTTGAACTTGATCAGTCCATTTATAAGTCTGAGCTATAGATCCAGAACTGTGATTGTTAAAACAAAATGGCCACAGCAAGAACCAAGTTTGAATTAAATCAGTTTGTCTATGCACGACCCAGTTTCAGTTCTAGAATGGCAGATGTATTAATGCATTTTTGTAACTAAAATGGCAGCATGCATACACATGATGTATGTGTGCAGTTTGAACTTGATTGGTCCATGCACATCAATAATATGAATTTGGACAGGTGTGACTATGCCTGAATAGGAAATAGTAACTGACCATGAAAACATTAACAAAGAACTATGAGTGTTGTTTAAAGATTTCATTTCATAAAAATTACTTACGGATTTTCACTGGTGTTAAAGAGTAACAAAGAACTAACAGATGAAAGATTACTTGGTAGACTCCCAAGTCCTTCTCCACTGTCGTCTTTATTTGCCTGTCTTATTTTCAAATGAACATTATAAAACTGTAGTTTCTCTTTCAGACTCCGATCATCAAGTGACTGATGCTTGCTGTGGATATGTCTATGTGGGTGATGAATTTGTTTCAGATTATTTTCATCTTTGAACGCAGATGTGTATGGATCAAGCGACTCTGCAGCTGGGTACTTTGCACTGGAGAACACCTTGATAGCTTTCTTTGAACCCTTTATATGGTCTACTTTAGCCTGAGCAGTGTTAATTCTTTCATTAATCGACTGGAGTTTCTGTCTATTCTCAGTCACCTTGTTGCTGATCCTGTTGAAAATATCGTTAGATACTTTGTCTAGATAATCCAAAGCATCTGCAATCTGTAGTATCATCTCCTCCCTTCTCAGATCAGGTTGAATGAGTGGAACATTGTACGACTCATGAGGCATTTTTACAATTAGATGTGTTCAACTTGTTGTATATAATTTGTGAACTTCACATTAAATTCAATCTGGTAAGAAAGTGGAGCAATAAAAACATGTAAATTTGATTTCATACGCACTTATAATATTCTTGTAACGGTCACGGGTGGCATTATGGTTCACTGATGCGAATACCGACAGACGAAGTACATGACCCATCTAGACCCAAAACGTAGCAAACCACCATGCTTAGTGTATCTTATTCACAGTTGGGGGGCTGCAAATGACTTGTCCATTATGTAATTTCAATCATTAAGCTAGAAAGATTAATCTACACTTGTTTCAAATTACATGTACAAGGGTCCCAGTGATTCCGGCCTTAAAAGTGACCTGCCAGTGCTGGAGAGGGTTAGAAACATGTACAGTTCCTTAGACACGTGGTGTGCAGCCAGAAAAAGATGTATTTGTAGACGATCGTTGATGCGAATAGCAATAACCTTCCGGTTGATCGACTGTACCCCCCCCTGATCAATCAACAGACTTGCGTGTCAATGAAAACTGTTAATGCACGCCTTGTGGTTAGAAACATGCATATATCATTGGATACATGATACACAGCAAAAACAGAATATATTTTATTGTTATCACTCAATGTTGTAATGAGTCGTTGACACAGACGGCCGCCATCTTTGTGGCTACCAGCCGACAGGGAATTGCATGAATAAATTAAGAACAGAATGTAGCAAGACGCATTTCACTTTGACACCAAGTTACATGCTCTGCATTTTAGTTCATAACTAGTTTATAACTAGACTGGCTTGGTTTAAAAAAAAATAATTTGGCTTTTTTAGCGTGCTCGCGAAAACTAGTGCGACCGCAAAAGAAATCCGAAATCTTCGCAGCGAGTGGGGAACATATTTTTTTTAATTAAAAATTACACCCATATTTGAAAAAAAGCGCTCCGACTGTGGTCAGTCTAGTCTCTAACCACTCTCGTCACTTACAGGTGCTAATTTTCCTACTGGGAGATGCGAGAATGGCACCAGTAGGTACCAGCTGTATTTAGTGGGACCGCATGTACAACAAGAAAAAATCCTAAAATGCCAGATGCCTCAACCAACACATATTTTTTTTCATCCTTTTTGTTTTTCTTTCATTCAAATGTTTGTGATTGTCTTAATTGTTGTTACATTTTGTTTATTTTTGTTACTTTATTGTATTTCCAACCCAAATCCCACACTGAGAAACGATTTCAATAAAGATTACTAGTATTAGTAGTATTAGTATTATTGTTGTTTTTATTTAAATGGCGTTTCTTTGGCAAGACAAATACACGCCCGTAAACAACACCAATGTCAATTCATGTCACTTTAATCACGATTACTAGAAGAACCGTGCTTTAATGTGGCGTGGCAGTGAATGTACTGTTATGTTGACTCTTTCTCGCAACTCCCTCTCGATCGAATCTCATTTATGAGGTCAAACTGACCGAATCGGTAATATATAAAACCTTTGTATGGTTAACTTAAAATACGCGATCAAATGTGCTCGAACAATCAATTTAACAAGATATTGACAATAACTGGAAAAAATAAACCTCACCCGTGAAAACATTTGATCTGTCTTCTTTCCTGCTTCCACCTTCGTCCATGCGCGACAGACAGACACTGTCAGCTGGCCGATCAGGTGCTCGTTATTCATTCGTGACTGTTCTACTAGGTGTCAATAGAGGGCGCACTAACACAACAAGTTACATGTAGGGCTCATACCACTAATTGAATTTCCATAGACAACAATGTTGACATATGACGAGATTGCTATATAAAAATGATGAAGAAAGTTGAAAACATGGCTCAAAAATGGGAAATCAACATGCCAGTAATCAACCATATGAAAAAAACTAATATGTTGGCCAGCTCAAACTCTTACAAATCTCAGGTAAACAAGACACACCTACTGTATTTAGATTGCACCTAGAGAAATCACTGGAAAAATACCAAGATTAGAACATCCAAATACACACAGAATAAACCCACAGGTACACAGCCGCTAAGTAGTAAACAAAAGACCACATGTTGGTCTCACCTTTGACCCAGGTGATTACGCCCTCAAACAGGGAGCACCTGAGAAAAAAAAAATATTAAAAAAAATTTCATTAGTTCTTTCAAGGCATTTAAATGGCTACGAGCAGCCATTGGTTAATTAGTGGCATGAGACCTGTACACTGATACTAGTACAATATTTTATCAGTATGTACTAGTATTTTTTTTGAGAAACACGGTTTTAAATTGTGTTTTTACACCATAGTAATAGAATTGCATTTTTCAACAAGAAAAAAAAAACAGCATTACATTTATTGGAAAGGGCAAATTACTTTTCAACATATAACAAGTATCATCATTATAAACTCAAAATAATCAAGGTATCTATGACTCATTCTGATGTAACTTATGTAAACGTATTTATTATTTTTACGAGAATGTTGGATATAATATAAATGCTTATACATCTACAATATTAATTCGAAATGTTTCAATGGAGTCAGTCATACTATGATACTAGAAAAATACATCAATTAAAATAAAAAAAAAATGAAACAGAGAATTGGGAGAACGGGTTGGGAGAAACGAGTCAGCTGAGTGTTGTAGTTCGAGTGATGTTGGCGTATTTTTAATTCATACTAAAAAACTTATTCACTCACTGTTTACTGATAAGTCATCTGCCGATTTTTCGCAACCAAAAACGCGATTTTTCATTTGGGGTTTAAACAAAAATTAACATCATCAACTAAGAGTATTACGTGTACTGTGGCATTCCCACATAACGTCAACATGCAGTAACAAGGACTTATAGATGTTATAGTAGCACTTCTATGAGATTGACTTACTAGAATGTATGGGTTCAATTACCAGTGTTCTCTGATGATGTCATCAAATTCAATTACGCACACTTGATATTCACAAACTTTGTAAATTACAAACCTGTCTATTTATCTTCGACTTTAAACACAACAGATATGCACATGGCCTCAATAAGTATGTAAGTATTTCCCACAGTGCTATCCCCACAAGGTCAGTGTCTAAGGGAAACTTGTCAATTCCTGTTGCTCAACTTACAGTTTCACAACGAAATTTTAAATTTGCTGCAGTAAAACACTGGAATTCGCTTCCAGACTCCCTTAAAAATATCAACAACAGAAACAAGTTTAAATATGAAATGAAACATTATTTGCTTTGTTAAATTCCTCGATTACTTCCCACTTCTCTGCATTATTTTACTGCTTCTGCATATAAACTCGGTGTACCAGTAGTTTGCTTATATTATTATTACACATGTTTATATCTGAATCATATAGATTACTTTTCATTATGTAAATAGTAATTTCCCTTTCCATTACTAGTACTTTGTCAATTTCTACTTGACAGTCTGGGCCACGCACTACACTAGTCCATAAGGACTATTTCCATGGTCCACACCAGAATTACTACCATTTTATTTTGTTTATAAGTTCTGTAATAATGATCATTCTGGTGAAATAAATAAATAATAATAATAAATAATAATAGCCTTCTAGAGACCAAATGACGCCATGCAAATAGGACGTCTACTTCACAGCCGTGTTATGCCCGATATATAGGGCATTCCGCAGCACATATAAGTTGTTTTTATCGCCAGAATGTTTTCATTGATCCTAAATTCCCTGTAAAGAGCAGCAAAATTGTGTGTTTTGGCACATTGCCTGTCTACTTTGTTCATTATGCAGTGAATAATCTTTGTTCAACTCTTTCTCAAACATGTATGGGTCAATTTTGTTAAAGCTATTTATGAATTACTTATGCATATGTTAAGGAATAGGCCCTTGCATAATTTGATAATCAAAATCGTCGAGATGGCGGGGACGTAATTACATTATTTAATGAACAGTTTAGCAATTTCAGGAAAAAAGAAGCCTGCTGGGAATGATGACAGCAAATTTTAATTCAGTCAGAGAGAATTCGGTGACGAGGACATTTTCAGTTATTATTCCTTCTCCTCCAAGAATGCGTAAATTAATTATTATTGATTATTCACTGGGTTTTAATTTTAATTATTTTGCTACAAAAAAATGCGCTAAATTAAAACCCAGAGAATATCTAAATTGAGCATAGAACACATTATCTAAATGATAAAACCGTGAATTTAAAACAAACTAATATGCTTGGAATGTTAAATCAGTGAAATTTAAACACAGTGAAAATTAGTCATGTTACAGTATTGAAATGAGCAACATCCGGAGATGACAGGCTTTGTTGGGTTATCTTTGTATGCGTGAAAGAATTCAGAGAAAAAATGGAACCCACTATGAGTAGCCATCTACCACATACCATTGTTTCACCATTGTTACCGAACACAATTTTGAGACATAATGCAATTATAGGGTGGTGTATTGCTCACATATGAATATAATTGATGATATCCATTGTCGTCTAGGTACAACAGGGACAACATACAACAAAAAATACATTGTAGTAATAGAATGGAATGGGCAAAATTACAATTTATATCCCCTCAAAACAAAAGACCGAACACATTGTTACAGGTGGCAGTAATACAAGAAGATGGGCCAGTTACGAAGTGGGCCAGCAGAAAAGGGGGGCCAGTTACGAAGTGGGCAGCAGGAAAGGTGGGCCAGTTACGAGGTGGGCCAGTTACGAAGTGGGCCAGCAGAAAAGGGGGCCAGTTACGAAGTGGGCCAGCAGGAAAGGCGGGCGTTAGTTCCAAGGTCGTGCATTGCTATTTCCCCCGCTGAGATTTGACAAAATATTCTTCCCAGTGGTAAAATGCATTATAAAATTGTACAATAATACGAGTAACCTTAAATTTATCTGGTGGAGTTGCTACGTTTGGTCTCTCAAATTCATACTTGTATGAATGAATTGTACAGTTTCTATTTCTGCAAAACTTGTTGCAATTATTTTTTTTAATTTTTTTCCTCAGTTACTGGGCCACTTCACCGACAAATTTGCTGGTTTACCCCGTAACTGGCCCACGTTTTCTACTGGCCCACTTCACCGACGAATTTGCTGGTTTACCCCGTAACTGGCCCACTTTTTCTACTGGCCCACTTCACCGACGAATTTGCTGGCTTACCCCGTAACTGGCCCACTTTTTCTACTGGCCCACTTCACCGACGAATTTGCTGGCTCACCCCATAACTGGCCCACTTTTTCTATTGGCACACTTCACCGATGAATTTGCTGGTTAAGCCCGTAACTGGCCAACTTCTCCGGATATCTCCAAACCTACCCGGCTCTTTCTTGGGAGTCCGGAGTTTCGCCATAAATAAATTAACACAAGCTGCCAATCCATTTTGAACAATTTAAACAACAATGTATGAGCAATTGCATTCAACACGTGCAAAATGAACACAGTCAGGCAGGCAAGTTTTGTATTTATAATTTCTCTGGGTAAAGATCAAATGTTTGGTATAAGGACATCAGCATTTAAAGCGGGAGGATCTTCATCTGCGCACGCACGGTAATTGAGTCCCAGGCGACGATAACAACACAAGCTAAAAACGCAAAGGCTCATGGTTATCACAACTAATCTTTATTGCTATTAACTGATAGAAATATTGTATTTCTAAAGATGCAACAAAGTTATTATTATTATTATTATTATTATTATTATTATTATTATTATTATTATTATTATTATTATTATTATTATTATTATTATTAATAATAATCGGCACGCTATGGCCATTTGACGCATGCGCAGTTGTCGACTCGCCACTTTAAGATTGTGACGTCACATTGTGAATGAAGTTCAAAATACGCATGTTTGTACAACGTAGTCACATCACACATGTGTTTAATTTTTGAACACTTAAACACATCACAAAACACTGAACACTGCCAAGAGATTCCAGAATATAAAAACATACTTTCACCCTCATGTGTGGGTTATGGCTACCACGTGACCAAACACACAAAATAACCTCAGTATATTAAGGTGTACACAAATGAGTGGTGGTGGTGGTAGTGGTGGTGATGGTGGTGCGTGTAATGTCACATGTCACCGTGCCCTTCAATCGTTCAACGATTCACTGACAATCAGGCATAGTCTTAGCATGGTCGACTACTGACAAGATAGTTAAGTCTTTCACTGCCTTCTCTGATACATGGGCATAGTCAGTTTGCCAACACATGAAATACGCGCCCTCCCTTTGGTTTTGGTTAACCACGTGTCACATCACAGTCACATGAAATATCTACCACTTGTAACATCACATTAATTCTTATATTTTTGGCACAGATGGGACAGTGTTTGTTGTTCGTGGGGAGTAGGCGAGTATGAGTAAAAAGGATGATTACGTATACTATACTATAACAAATCAGCCGCCATTTAAACAGTCGAGAACACAGTGGGAAAAACAGCTTTGGGCATTTCAATTAGTCGCAATGGATCAAACGCCTGCACTGTATTAAGGACCACTAATAGTAGCACGTCTGTTAGAGTTGCTGTCAGTCACTGACCAATGCGGCGTATTTTTAGGTAAAATATTAGAATGGTTACATAGATTCATTTTTGCAAATATCAAATCACAAATGTGGGTGATGCCTAGAGGTTAGATGTTATACTTTGCGAAATCGTAACCATGTTATCCGAGACGAGCTTACAAGTGCGTATTTTTTTTCAGTGATTCGTTAATCCGGCCTGTC